AATTTGTAAGGAAAAATAAAAATACATACATCTAAAAGAATTAGTATACCAATTTCAATCAAATCAAATGGTGAAGAGGGTCTGCTCCCGAAAAGTATGTGTGTAAAATTTCATTCGAAGAGTTCAAAAGCTGAGAGAGTAGTTTGAACTGAAAAGTATATATATACATATACTGATATATACTTTATAGTATTTACGACGTTTCCTTTAATGCGTTACGAAAATCATGACAAGCTTAATATACCCTTTTTACACTTTTTCGTATAAAAGGTATAAAAAGATGTTAGTAGGAGGCCCTTAGTTAGAATTTGATTTGGGCCTAAAAAATGTAGTTACGCCACTGATCCTACAGCTTTATAAATGAGCGGTTCTTCGCTATAATTTGATTATAAGTAAGTCCCTATAATTTCTTATATATATATATTTGTATTAATAATGAAACAATCACACTTCATGAAAAAGTAGACTCAGACTATACTTTGTCTGAGACTTACTTATAGATACGTCAAAAGTTTAATCATTTGAAAAATAATCATTAAAAATGCAAAATTTTAAATTGCGTTGAAATGAAAAAAAAAAATTAGAATTATGAATGCAAGTACATAACAAAAAAAATATTTAGGAGATGGAAAAATTCCGGTGTAGGTAACAAATCTGGCATATTTGATTGTTGCTTACTGAAGATTATTAATGTTTTCTATTAAAAAAGTTTACATACATATTTGTATCTTTGTATCTTTGTATCTAGATATACGTTTCAAATTGTTGAATACAAAGCGAAGCATATCGAGACTAGGAAGAAGAGCCTTTGAAAGAAGTTTTCAAGTATTCAATACATTTTCTGTTTACAATTTTTGAATTGTACACTTTTATTTGCATGTTTCCATACTTCAACCACCGACATTGTCTGCTTCCCATACACAATTGAGTGCTTTGAATGCAAAAGATACAAGCAGAAAACAGATACAAGCGATTTTTCAGTTAGAAATCGTATCGTTAAGGAAGTCTAAGTATTATGAGATTTGCTCTGGATGTACGAGTAACTTCACCAACAACTGAAAATTCGAAACGCGGGTTTCATTTGTTAAAAAGTGTTTTGCATAATTTCAAAATTTAAATAATAAGAAAAAAAAATTCAAGGAAATTGCAAGCAGACATGTAGGGGAGTGTTTTTTCCTGCTGCAGTAATAGTACTATTTCATAAATTTCTAACACAAAAGGACATCGATAGCAGCTTTAAAAATTGAAATTGTCATTAAAGAAAAGAAATAAGGAAACTGAAGTAGACACAATTGCTATTGGAATAAAGAAGTTAACGCTGAGGTCTTGGCTCTTGTACACTTAAACACTTATACACCTCAACTGTACAGTACCGTAGGATAGAAAATTAGAAGGAAAAAAAATACACTTCGACATTTTTAAGTATGCACTGACGTTATCCTGTTCAGTGGTGCTCCTGTGTCAGCTACCAGACGTGGCACTTCCTACACTTGTAAATGCGCAAACAAACAGGATGACAAGATGCAATGATATGGAAAAATTAAAATCATTAATGCCTTACCTACTTGAGCGGTACATTTCGCGGTTATGTTAAACGGGCTAGAGGGCAGCGAACATGCATACTGGGGTGTCCACAATTTTCAATGAAATTTATAGCAGCAATTATCTTACCAAAAATCTAATAATTTGATTTTTGAAAAAATTGCTCTAAAAGGCATAAAAAATAATTGTAAATGAATTTGCATATTTTCGAGATATTGGTTGAATTAGAGTTTACTGCGTATGTACACAATATCTTTTTATAATTTATTCTGAATTTATGAGTTAAAAATGCAAACTTTAGTCTTAACAGTTTTTCTGTGCAACTTAAATAAAAATATTAAAAAATTTTTTAGGACTTCAATTTAAAATATATTTAAAATATATTTGAAAAATTTTAAACTTTAAACTCTACTTTAAGCTTTTACTTTTAAAAGACATTAGAAGTAAAAAGATAAAAAGTATTGGGTTAAAAGAGGAAAGTACAAAAGCAAATAAAGTAAGTCAACGCAGATCACTTTCATATACCAAAGAATATATTCATATGTCAAACAATCTTGCCCGCAGTGACCTTAAATTATAACCAAACACCACAAATTGACCAAACTAAATACGTAGGTGGCCTTCTTACCTATTTTCAAAGCGGAAACAACTTGCATTAAAACTATACTAGTTAACTCTACGAGTTACTCAGCAATAAATCAGCATTATCGCTTAATAATAAAGTTTTCATTTATCAAAACTAATGTACTGAGACCAGAACATCAAACTGGAACCGAACCGAAAACCAAAAAAATCCGATATTTTTGCCGATACCGAAACCGAACCGACATATTTTTTTGGTTTCTTGAACTAGAACGAAAACCGGAACGGAAAAAATTCCGGTTCGATGCCATAACTAAGACCACACTATTACCAAGTAGACATACGTAATCAAATATTGGTCTTGGCTTTTTACTTCAACCAAAAAGTCTTACAGAGGTTACATCATGATCTAAAAGTACCAACGATATACAAAAATCACCGATATAAATCACAGATACCATAAGTGACTACTTGTCTGAATTCCGTAACTAAACCAGAAACTGAAGTCGCAGATTAAAGAAAATTTGTTTATTGTCCTGTAAAATGATGAAATATGGAAACTTTTTATTCATATGCAGGATTTGGCAGGACCCGAGTTTCAATCCTGGCACTTGCAGTCTCAAAAATAATTATTTACGAATAGTTAAGTACAAGAATTATTTCCAAGACTACAGATGATGGGTATTTGGCAATACTCGAAAAAGCTGTATGGTCAGTCAAAAATTCAACTATTTAAAATAATAAAAAAAAATAAAATTTTTGTTGTTGTAGTTCACTACTGTTCGAAAAAACCTCTATACATATTTCTGTAATATTCTATATGTGTAATTGCATTCTATTGGGAATTCTTATTCATTTTGTGAATATAAGTTTTAGTTATTAATACACTGGATGTTGTCATAACCCGATTGTATTTAATAACTGTAGTAAGAGAAAAACATTTCCCTGTACCCTCACATTTTGTGCAAATCTTAGTTATATGTTTTACCTAATTTATTTAAAAGATTGCTTTTATTGAACGAAGAAAAGAATATTTAGACAGAAATATTCATCTCGTAGAAACAAATGCATGATGGCCTTTAATAAATCGAGAGGAAGAAAGAAAGGTTAGACTATAAAAAATACTTATGTCTAAGCAATTTTTTAAATAAACTCCAAATTTAGTAACTATCATACTAGCACAGTGATAATAAAAAACTACACTTTGACACGTGTAGTTGCAAATATTATCCTTGTAGTGCTAAACACACAAAAACCAACTGAGTTGTAGCTTGAAAGTCACACCCTCATCCAAAGGATTGACTGATATATTGTGTAAAGTAATGCAATATTGAATTAAAAAGTTATTCCGGTTTACACGCCCTTGGCATTTAACTAAGAATATTCCAGATTACTTTATATATTGTAATGTACATGTGCAAGAATAAAGCTCTGCAAGGACATTTTTTGCGTGAGAGCTTTATTAAATCAATACGGATGTGATTTTCGAAAAATACACAAACAATGTTTCTATAAGTAAATTAACTCAACGCTGGAGAAAAATTGGAGAAATGTATGAAGAAAGTAACCGGTATAGACGACACGTGTAAATGAATATAGAATGCCAATGCCAATGCCAAGGAAAGTTGTTAACACCGATGAAAAGTTAGCACGTGTAGAGAGTTAGCTCAAGGACTTTAAGATGCAGAAAAATTGTGTTTAAATGTGGAGTACAGATACAGATACTTAAACAGGAAAATAGTGGTTAGAAAAACTGAAATTAAAAGTAGTGTGTAATAGCTACTGATACAAAAACTAAGCACTTGTATTATGAAAAAAAAAAAATTAAGTGAAACTAATGTCGTGAATTTTTAGTAGTAACTGCATTATTTATCAAAGGAAAATTAACTTAGTCTGTTGTGTCGTATTTCTATAAAGCATCAATTAATTGATTAAAAAAATCTCAATTATTTTTTCTAAAGGTATGTTTTTTTATTCTAAGATTTTCACAATCGTCGATAGTAATCTTTAGTAAACTATTGTTGCTTTATTCCTTTATATAAGCGAAGTACTCAGTCCTCTGAAAACCACATATAAACCCCTGAATAAGTACATGATAAGGAGATCAAAGCATAGGTGACGAAATTTAACCTTCTGTAGAATAGCTAGGATCATGTGTAGACATATATACGTCGAAGAGTATACTGAAGATGCTAAATCATTTAACCGAAGGAATTGTAGAACATTAATTGGAGTATTGATAGGTCACTGTTTGGTCGCATCGCACACGCACAAACTAAACTTTATTTGCTGCGATGATTTTAGGAAATGCCACGAGCCGGATACAAAGGAAACTCTGGAACATCTGCTCTGGTCTCTCGACAAAAATATTAGGGGGCTGTCTGTTTTATAGGACTGCAGTGCATGCCTGAGGTAGCTGCAATACAATTCGCTAATAACATGCATATCCTGAGTAATGCATACCATCGCTAGAAATAAGACTCTGAGGTGGTATCGGAATGGACCTTCAATAGTTACCTGAGGATGAAAATTGTGTTTTATTTGACCAATTGGTTGATACTTAAAGGCATTACAAATTACTTTGATAAAAGTCCAGATGCTCGCACAATTGATTTTAGTATAAAAATTAAATAAAATTGTTGTTTATCCAAAAATATGCAGTGGTCTACATAAACCAAACAGTTAAAGCTTTATTTATGATTAACATAATTTTCTGAAGTAAGAAGTTAACCAAAATTGAGAGTCGGTTGTAAATAAAA